TCAATTCAATTTATTAAAATATTATTTGTTAAGAGACTCGTGGAAGGTTCTCCGATAAGGGTGGTCTAAGCTTTGCTCTCTTAAAACAAATTCGTTGTATTTGATGTAAAAAAAAAATTATTTGTAATCTGAATACAAAATTTTACATTCTTCTGAGAAAGAAAACTTCAATATTTGGGTGTATCTTAAGTTTTGAGTTTTACTTTGGTCAAAATCTTATTATATAAAGGAAGATGCGCAAGATGAAAATGCGATACGTAAGAAAAATTATAATTTACCAGATTATGATATGTTTCTAATGTTGATCAGATGATGACATATGTTAACACTTAAAATTAATTAAAAATATATAAAATAAAAATAGAAAACAAAAATGCCACTAATTATAGATTTATAAAGCTTATATCTTAAAATTCTAAACCCTAAAAAATGTTTTGACACCTAAAACCTCGTAAACATTCAAAACTAAACCCTAATAGAACATAATTAACCCAAACATAAATAATATAAATAAAAAATAATTTTGAAAAAATGGAATTTTTATAAAGATTTCAAAAGTGTGGCATTTTTTGTAAAGTGGCACTTGAAAAGTGACAATTTTTTTAAATTTCTCTATTAAAATTGACAAAAAATTGTCGACATAACCCAAGATTCTTCATCGGCGGTCCTTTATCTCCGCCGCTGACCTCCAAATAAAACACAGACTTTCTTCTTCCTCTACTCTCCTCCACTCTCTCTTCGTCTCTCTTCGATATACGTCTTTCTGTCCTTTTGTTTTCTTTTGTTGAAATTAGTTTTGAAGTGAACAGATCCTAAAGTTTCAAATGGGATCCAAGTGTTGTTCTGAATTAGCAAAATCCAAATCTCGAATTGTTGGTTGAGTTGAATTAGTTTGTGCTGAGATGGATTTAAAAATGTAAAAAGGAATAGTTTGGAACAGAAAAAGACAGAGCACATTCCCAGGGAACAAAATCAGAGACATGTTAGTAGATACATTCAATCTTCTAACAAACGAGAGACAAAAACAAACATTGGTAATGCTACCTGGTGAATCCTTGAGATTCATGAGATTCCTCTTCTTTGAGGAAGATCATCGACTTCTGACAGAGTAATCCATAACGACGCTAATCGGAATCCAATTCCGGTGAAACAGAGTACACCACCACCGCCAATTCCGGTGAAACGGAGTACACCAGCACCAGCACCTTCTCCACCACCTCCTCCGGTAAAAAAAAGTCTTTCGCCACCACCGCCGCCTCCACCGGTGAAAACGCTTGGAGCTTTGTCGTCGGCATCGAAACCATGGTGTATATAATTTTTTTGTTTAAGGGTAATAAAGTCATCTTTGGTGTATACCTTTAATATTAAAAAACTTGGTCTATAAATTTAATTTTTATATTTTTTTGGTCTATTTCCTTAATTTTCCCATAAAAAAATCTAATAGTTTAAACTAATTATCAAATTCAATTAAGAAAAAAAATAGAGAAAGTATAAACCCTAAAAAAGTAGAAAGAAAAAAATTAAATAAGAAAATATTATCGACGAGAGTTTGACACTTAAGCATAATTATAGTTCACCAGATCATAACATGTGTCTAATATTGATTAGATGATGACATGTGTTAAAGCTTAAAAATAATTAAGAAAAAATAAAATTAAAAATGAAAAAAAAACAAAACAACTAACCAAATAGTAAAAAAGAAAAAATTATAATAATCCCAAATAGTTAAGAAAAAAATAATTAAAATAGTTTAAAAAAATTATAAAAATAAAATTAGGAAAGAAAACAGAAAGACTATAAATAATAAAAAACAAAAAACATAGAGGAAATAGAAATTTAAATTAAAACAAATATGAATGATAAAACAATTTTTTTTTATAAATTGAAAAAAAAAAATTAAATGAATATGGAAATCTCAATGTTAAAGTTTATATGCATAAACATACCAAAGAAAACAAAATCTATATTTACTTTTGTAAACGTAGTTATAGAATATTAGAAAGAAAATATAAACCTTCTACCTATACTTTTCAATGTTA